GACGCTTGGTGTGGCCAAAAAACACCCCGAGAAACAAAAATCCCCCAAACCCCAAGATTTGTATTAATGCCAATGCAAAAACCATTAGTAAAATGTCAGCAGAGTCCATACCACGTTAAAAAATGTAGCACAACCAAGAAGGATTTATTCCAGGAATTCAACCATGGTTCAGTTATTAGGAATTCCATCAGTCTATTTTTTTTTAAGTAATTTTATTTTATCGATTTATTTGTTTATTTTTTGGCTGCGTTGGGTCTTCGTTGCTGTACGTGGGCTTTCTCTTTAGTTACGGCGAGCAGGGGCTTCTCTTCGTTGCGTTGCGCGGGCTTCTCATTGCGGTGGCTTCTCTTGTTGCAGAGCACAGGCTCTCAGCGCACAGGCTTCAGTAGTTGCAGCACACGGGCTCAGTAATTGTGGCTCACAGGCTCAGTAGTTGTGGCTTGCGGGCTCTGTAGCACTGGCTCAGTAGTTGTGGCGCATGGTCTTTGTTGCTCTGTGGCATGTGGGATCTTCCTGGACCAGGGATCGAACCCATGTCCCCTGCGTTGGCAGGAGGGTTCTTAACCACTGCATCACCTGTTAAGTCCTACAATGTATATTGATGTGGATTTCTGTGGCCTTATCTAGGGAGTCCACCCAGTTTCTTCAATCTGAAGATATATGTCTTTTGCCAAATTTGGGAAATTTTCAGCTTTGTCATATCTTTGAATAGTTTTCAGCCTCACACTTTCTTCTCTTCTTTGGAGCTCAGTGAATGTTAGATCTTTCATTATAGTACCACAGGCCACTGAGGCTCTGCTAACATTTTTCAGTCTATTTTCTCTCCGTTGTTAATATTGGATAATTTCAATTGTTCAATCCTCAAATTCACTGATTCTTTTCTCCTGTCATCTCTCTTCTGTTGAGCTCACCCAGCGATTTTTTCCTTTTGAAACTCTGGCATGACCAAACAATTTTTTCTTTTCTAATAAGCTCTTTTGGGCACTGATTGTAAATACAGATTTTATTTAATACATTGCATTTTACAACATGTTAATAAAATGCAATGTTATTTCCTTTCCCTGTGCATATATTCCCTAAGTTATGAGAAAGCCAGTAATTCAGTACAGTATTGAATTACTCAATAGCTCAACCTTAAGACTGTCACTGGATTTGTTGTGAATTTGGCTCCTTCAATTTTTTTTTTTTTTTTTTTTTACTGTGGAACAGGGCTAAATTATCTATGCTCAGGTTGGCTTCACTTACATCTTCAAAGGTGGGCCCAGAAGAGGAGCTCCGTCACCCGGGAAGCCCCAGGCCTTCCTCTCACACCCTGCTACAACTTGATAATGATGAGGTTGCAAATGTTCTCCAGCTCTTTCTGCCAAAGTTCAGGTTCTTCCTTTCCTGCAGTCAGATTCTTATCAGGCCAGTTGATGATTTCATTATACTTGTCAAGAATCTTCTGTTTGTCCTCATCTTTGATCTTGCCTTTGAGTCTCTCATCTGCAACCTTTGCTGTCATGTTGAATGCACAGAATTCAAGTGGATTTCTGGAAGCCATCTGTTCCTCTGTTTCTCATATTCAGCTTTGTACCTCTTAGCTTTTGGACCATAAGCTCAATGTGTTCTTTGCTGAAATGGCCCTTGTCATTTTTTGATGGTAATCTTGTTCTATTTTCCTGTGCTCTTATCCATAGCAGAGACACCTAGGATACCCATGGCATCCTGAAACTACGTCACCAGAAACAAATACATTGAACTGTGTATCAAATGGACACCATAACCGCATAGAAGAAAAATATAATCCACAGTATTGAACACAGTATTTTGACTATATATCTTTTGTGTAAAGATAAAAAGAATGGAAAAAATATCTTGAACTTAGTAAGTTTGTTGTTGGTAGGTAGTGTAGCTATTCTCAAACTACCGTGTATGTGTTCTCAGATTGAGCAAAGAAAGAAATAGATTCATACTAATGGGAACCAGAGTTTT